TGTAGTATGATGGTTGCCTAATTTTTCCTAGCAGTCGAAGAGGACAAGTAATTGTTCGTGGTATCTATAAGCAGGACAGCTCCTGAAAGATTTTCAGATGATTCCACCAGGTGAAGCCAATTGGAAAGAAGATAAATTAAAGTCGAACCGGATTACGCGGAGCTCGGAATGCTACGGCGTATACCTGAGTTGTGGCCTCTAGGAAAGAATAGAAAATAGTTAGCAGTGCAGAGGTAATGCAACGAAATAGAACGGAACAATCTGCGACAAATGTTCGCTTTGATTATTGGACAAAATAATTATTGCCACTGTTGATCATGGGGGAATCAGTCGAGGTGGCCGACAAGAGAGGAAACCGCGCATTCGGATCATATCCATCTTGCTCTAATTTTATAAGGACATTCATTTATCATATTTGGTATCAGTATACCAATATCCCTAACTGAATTTCGCGTATCGAATTTCGAAGTTTATTCTGTAGTACCGAGTATCGGTTAAGGAAAAGGTTGTCAAACTACTCTGTTCTTGATCTTCCCACTGTTATTTTAGTGTTGTTTCTGGTGCAATACTTTGCCTGTTCTCATGGTTGTATTACTGGATATGAGGAATGTATTGTTTGGTGGGAGTATCGAAGCAGATGACAAGTTTAAGTTTCATTCGGATCAGCCATAATGGATCAATTTGCATCCGTCCGTATACGATGTAGTGGAGTAGTCTAGGGTATGTTTATTGAATGATCATTGATCTCGCTTTAATGCTATACGATCACTCACTCCAGCATTGCAGTAGATTAGGGAGCCATAATCTAATAAATTGTTCCGTCTAAGATGGGAAACGAGCAGGAGACTTAGTGTTGGCGAGACTATATGCAACGAGAGTGAACAGCCTATCCACGACTTGTCAAAACGCTTGGAGCACTGGACTGAACAGTTTGAAAAGCAATTTGATCATTCGGAATTCCTATCTTCCTTTTCGTGAATTAATAGCCATTCTCCCTGAGCCGTGTCGGCCGGTGGCCGAAAGGATTGCACATCTGGTTTGCAATCCTTAGGTCACCGATTCGAATCCGCGTAGTGGCAGGCGTCCACGCGCAACCGGTAGTAGTCACGTGGCAGCGAAGCGTCGGCACGATATGCCGGCGTACTCCTGACTTCCTTTTCCCTGAGCCGTCCATTTGGAGCCGCATTCACGCTCCGAATTCGGACGTGAGGTAACTGTAGAAATTGGATGAGACCGCAGGAGCAGATGGACGTCCTCCATTTCTTTTCACATTCGGTGTACTTGCTGTTATGGTTGATATGCACAACTTATTTATGAAGTTATGGGAGCAGCAAATTTTCCTAGCAGACATTATAGTATCCGTTTTTAAGGGAGACTCATATTCGGAATGCGGCCATCATAGGGTAATCCGTCTGATCTTAATTGCATCTGTTGCTCTTCACCAAATGGCACTCCTGAAATCCAGATTCGGAAGAGCAACTCAGGTTTCGTGAAACTTGAGGCTGCATCGACCACATCTTTACTTTACATTATTTGTTGGAACATCGCTATATTTATTGGCTACCCACCGAAGTCGTGTTCCTAGACATCAATGTGGCCTTCGATTCGGTTGATCGATGTGCCCTTTCAGATAGTCTGATTACGCAAGATGTATTCCAGAAATAGCTAAACGTTATCCTGGCGCTGTACGCGAGTAGTTCGGGCAGACTAAGTGCTTATAGCAAGCTCTCGCTGCCCTATAATATCTTCCGAGTTATAAGATAGCCAACTGTGAACCTTTTAAACTTCGCCATTGACGAAGTCACAAGAACGGCGTTCACTGGACACGACCTACAAGGTATGGAACTGCCTCAGGTAAACTACTTTTTGTCTTGGAATACACTGACAATATCACGCTAATCTGTGACAGCTCCCAAAAGTACCAAGCAGTACCGGAAAGAATAGCACTGGCTGTCATCGTTTTGGGCTATGCTTTGCACCCTTGAAATATGATGTCCTTCTCCCAGATTGACACGAACCAACCTCTGCGCCGACAATTTCTGGTGATCAGCTCGAAGTCGTTCAGAGATTTAAGTATTTCATTATTACCATTACACATTAGCTGAAGTTTAGAAACACACTTCATATATTATACCGCCATTTAACAAGGAAACGAAATACGAAACAGCGGGATATTTGACCTTTTAACATACAATAACCAGACAGCACACTGCTTAATAACATGTTATGCTCAAAGTTAGAGATCGTGATTGGAAGGGGAAGATATGCTAGATGGGAGGGGCAAGGAAATCCACAACACAAACATTTTTGAGGTTGGTTCCGAACAATGATAACAGCTGTATCCAACCAGATGTGTTCATCGTCCTTTGGACCCCAGCCCGGCAGTCAGGAGGCACCAACCGACACCAAGTTCGAATTGAGGGACTTCATTCTTCTTGACTAAGTCATAGCTTGACCTTTCTTTCTCTCCTTCCATTCACACCCCGATGGCGCGAACAACGCATGTCGCGGGAGTCGGTGGGCTAACACTCCCCACATGTGGCCCAGCAGTCGGAACCTGGCGTGTGATATGAGGGTGCTGAGCGGTTCACTCACTCTGGTCACCTATATTCACGCATGTACCATAACAGATGAGCTCACGAACCGTATAGGAAAAACTCGATGCACTTTTGCCATTCTCCGCCACTTGTGGCACTGGCGCGACATCACTCTCGCTTTGAAGGGCAGAGTCTACAAAGCACCCGTCCGTTCAACCCTCCTTTATGATTGCGAGACCTGGCCCATCAGGTCAAGAGACATACTGAGACTTATAACGTTAGACCGTTGATGCCTTCCCAGCTTCGCTCATGTCTGGTGGTAATACCGCACGAGCAATAAACGTGTTCGGCGTCGTGTATCTGGTTCAGGAAGAGCAAATAGACTGCTCAGCACCGTTATATCACACACCAGGCTCCGATGGTTGGGCCGCATATTGCGCAGGCCAGCACACCGATTTCCGCAACGTGTTTGTGCGCCGGAGTGTGGATAGCAGAAAACAGAGGGAGGCCAACTGGTTACTTGCTTAAGATGTATGCAGTTCCCCACTTCGAAGTTGACCTCACCTCTCTTGTGCTGGAGTCCGAAGGACGATGAACACGTTTGGTTAGATGCACACTTGTTGACATGGCGAGGGATTAGCCTTAATGCGTTTGTTTTATGCGTTACTTTTTCCTTCCTTTAAACCACTTATTTTCCCCCCTAACCACTTTCTCACACCTTACGTCTACTATCCTATTTAGCATTATATTAATTTTTTGAGATTTTTTTATTCTTTAGTATTTGACATCATTTTTTATAGTGCGGCACATTAAGTGAGGCGTTTCACACCCTCAGCTATCATGTATTGATGATGGCGATGATGAGTGTATTTTGTACGTGGCGCTAATTGGCTCGGCTCGGTCACGTGTTATGCATGCCAGGCCACCGACTCCCGCGACGTGCGTTGTTTGTGCGCCGGGGTGTGGATAAAAGAAGAGAAGAGATGGCCAAGGGATGACTTGGTCGAGAGGAATGAAGGCCCTCACTTCTGCGCTGGCGTCGGTTGGAGCGTCTCGACTCCCTAGTTGGGGTCCAAAAGACGATGAACACGTTTGGTTGGACACACTTGTTGATATGGCAAGGAGCCGACCTCAGTGGCGTTCGTGCTGTGAGTTTCTTTGTTCCACCCCATCCATCTTAGCCTCCCCTTCCAAGCACGGTCTCATTATTTAGCGCTATATAATTTTGGATGGTAAATTTTTTTTAAATGCATAGTAGCCGGCTGGTAGCTTGCCGGAAGGATGCCCATCCGTTACCGGTATCCCAGCTGGCTTGCACATGTTGCATTTGTTTACATTTTTCTTTTAGGTATTACGGCACAGTAGCTGAGGTGTTCCCCACCTCTAGCTGACGTGTATAATGTGTGTGTGTGTGTGTGCTAATTGGCTCTTTGTGATTGAATGTTTTGAACATCTTAGTTGCTGGTGTTTTGTTGTTGACCTCTTCCGTAGATCCTACACTCGTAGTAGTCGATTTACATCCAGGATCTGGTCGCATCTTTTCTTGTTACTGCTTTCAAGTATAAAGGGAGCATCTTTTGATCATATACGCAGTTTTCATCTACCGATCCGAAGGCTGTTGCCAGAGGCCGGTTTTGCGAACATTATTTCTCATCTGATAGTGGCGTATTACACGGTTGCTGCTCTCCCATCGCGTCCGGTGGATGTACTAGAGGCCAACACTTTTCTACCTTTCATTAATAGGTTGCTTTCACGCTTGTCTTCGCTCCGTTGTTGGGGCACAAGTTCGTGACACCATTTCCCATGTCCGTAATTAAAGTAGCTTATTCGACTGGTAGATGTGGATTGTGGAGCTTCTTAATCGACCCCGGTGTTATTTTCACGAGGATGTTAGGGCCTACCTACGGCCGACTCGCATTTTGTTCGCATTCCATTTCACATTGGTTTATCACTTTGGCGTTCTATCTTAGTCAGAGTGTTGAGAATCAATTCTAGATAACCATCTTTTGAATGCTGTTCGCGTTGACTTAGTATTTTTTACTGCAAAGTGCTAGATTTTCATACTACTCTCTACGTATTTGGATTCGTGCGATCTACTCTTAAGTGACGAATTCCACCGTCCCTCGTACACCGTCCGTCCGTTTCATCAACTGGTGGTGTACGATGTATTTTTCCTCCATTTGACGTATTCTTTACTCTACTCAGTTCTTTGTAGACATACTAGATTACGAGGTATTTAACATTCTTCACTTTTCTTATTAACATGGACGGTGATCCCATCGTATCACCGTGGTGTTTTGTTATTCTGACTTCACAACTGTCCTCCACTAAGTTTCCGAACTTGTTTTTGATTTAGATAAAATACTACGTAGACCGCAGCTTGGCACTTCGTCGACCGCGGCACCACGATCTGCCAGTTGCCGCCGAATCGCCCGCTCACGATGGCACCACTCTACCGGCAATATGATAGCGCCGTCGGCTTCCACTGCTCCTGGTTTTATCACTCCAACAGACAATGACTTTGTACCCACTCCGGGTATCAGCGATTACCGCTCAAGAACGTACGAGTGTGCCCGACTAACAAGCGCTGACCACGCTCCCCAGGAACCGGTTCGATTCCATTTTCCTGGCCGAAGATCGAAGTTGTCCTACACTCCTCCTGCTGTGGTTGCATCTGAACCAGAAATTGAGACACCTCTCACTGGTTCGGATGCACCGAATTTGGAATTCCCCAATGATCTGTCCAACAGTATTGATCGCTTGTCATTAGAAGTGCGACGTGGGTTAGAACCTGTTTCAAACAGAGTGCGAAATTGCGACAGCACCCGATCTCGCACTCGTCCTAGGCCTCGATCGACATCCTCTTCCACTTCCAAGATTTCCGTGTTTTGGAACACGTTTATTACCGGTGGAAGTTTCAAACCCGCGCCACCTTCACACTCGTCCTTTCACACCGCGTAAGTCCGAGTTACGGTTTCCTCTGATTTGCTTAGTTAATTATGTAAATTAGGTAAATGCCACCGGAGCGTTCGGTACGTCGGTTCTGATTAAAGCCAGCTGTCACGAGACCCATGGAGGTATCCTCGTTTCTGCTGGTGAATCCAGCCTCGGTTTAATTGTCATTTCTTTTCATTTGAATTCAGTATAATATTCCACATTTTAGAAAAAATAACTTTTTGTAGCAAACTTGCGCGCAAAAGTAGCTTTTAGTTGTCCCCACCGGGCATATTCAGGGGTTACGTACGTCAATGCGCAACAGGACAGCATTTTCGATACAGCAAATATACTCCTTCAATGGGGTTGTGAAAACTGGCTGTACACTGAGAGAATACGATGAACCGGAACACACACACACCCGATAATGTCTGAATGAACGGATACACAAACCATTCAGTAGTAACATTTCCAGAAAACATCCTTTGTGTCACACTATACCACTTAAGAGCGATTGTAAAACTGACAACTCATGCTGCTATCTAAAATACACCGCCAAGAAGACATGCTTCGTAGCTTGCTAGCGAATGCTATACTTCACTCGGTCCTCTTTTGTCAGATCTCTGAAACAGGCTATCTCCGCTAACCTGTTCTGCGCTTATTTAGCATTAGCCTGTACCATAAGTGCTTTGCTGAGGTAACTTTATATGGTTTTACTAATATGAATTAATATCTGTCCATATTTCTGTTGTCACATCACTGTGGTAACAGCTGTATAGTCTCGAGAAACGTTTTTCGCTTTTTTTTCTTAGGGTATTTACTGTGCATCGCGGAAACCACGTAAGCCGCTACTTCATGCCGAACTGTTTATAAGGTGCCTAGCATCTCGTCTAACTCCGCGGTGCACTTTCTGTCCCCATTATTTAGCTATTTTTGCTTCTTTCTCATTTTCTCACACAGATTTATACTACCCTGTTCGAATCAATGCTAGTGTTGTTCCTCCTTATTATGTAGTATTCTATAATCAGTCACTACTTTCCGGCGTGATATCGTTATTCTTATCTGGTTCCTTAACTTACACTTACGACTGATAATTTTTAGTTTTATTTTGGCACCACTCTTGATACACCTCCATTGCGCCGCTGCGTTGCGGGCAGGTTATTTAACCAAAGGCCCCGAGTGGAGTCCCCTAAGACAACTCCCTACTTCGGATTGGGCAGCGGACTATTCCACGCCCACTTAAAAAACCATGGACTATTCATCAGCAATATTGCTCTCAGATGCTTTTGCTTTTGCTAGTCGCACATATTCATATGCCATCTGTTCATTTGTTACCAATCTCTGTTATCCGTTATCAGCTTATTCCTGTTTCCATGATTCTACTTCCAATGCTTCCATCGATGTCCAGAGAGCTGGTCCAGTCGTACTACCTCGGCCTTGGTCCTTGTTCCGTCTGGCATGCTTCAATGTACATATACTCATCCAGGTCGAGCAGCAAACTGGCCTTGCTCGCATCTTGGACTCCCTTGTCATTGACGTTCGCTGTCTTTCCGAAACGGCGCCAGATTTCCTCTACTTCTAGCTCGTGGCACAGAAGCAGCTGCAACAGACCTGGCTGACGTTGATGTAGCGCTAAGTAGCAAAGCCGTCGGTGCACTTCTGGACTGGTTCCCGATTAATAACCGGCTGTGTGCAGTTTGACTTCGGGAATCATGCAAGATAAATAGATGTCGTGAGGAGAGAAGCAATTTGCTTGTGCTCTCAGCTTACGTTCCAAGTGACTGCAAATCCGACATTGTTTTTGCTGAGGATCTCAACGCAGTGGTCGGTCGCCTGTTGTCTTGCAAAAGTCATCTCGGTGGTTACCATGCGCTCGTTGAGAGACGCTCAAATAATGGATAGATAGGTCTCACCCTGTGCGCAGATAATCCTCTGTTTCTCCCGAGCACCGGATTTTGGTATTTAAGGAAACGTTCCGCTACTTGACGGCCCCCTTCTGCGTCTCAATCCTGGTCTCAGATTGATCAAATCTCAACCACTTTCAGTGCAAGCATTTCAGCTCCATCTGGTCCACTTTTCTCGACTCAGATCATGCTCTTGTCTGCGCGAACTTCTACATGAGTTTCGGATGGTCCCCTAAAACGAAGCACTGTAAGGTAGACACAACTAAACTATCTACTCTCTCAGTTCAACAGAGCTATCAAGCTTCTTTGGCTGGTGCACTCGGCTGCGACCCACCGCGACATTGATGAACACCGGACGTTAAAGCAAAGGACCATGATCTCTTCCGGACAATCGATCTGTGTTCTTACTCTGCACCATATAAAGACATGGATCTCCACGCGCTATTTGTATCTATTTGACCGCCGCAGGAATATCCCGACAGTCTAAGTGTGATGAAGTGCGCCGCAACTACTACCGGGTAAGCGAGTGACACATATAGTATGCCGATGGTGTCGCCTTACTTGATGACGATTCACGGAGCACCCATACCATTCGAGACGGTTTACCGATTTACGCCATGCTCCGTCAAAGTGTAAGATGTTGATTCAGGATTGACACTCAACCGTTCCCGTACTCACTATTGAAGGTACACAGCTTGAACTAGTGGGTAGCTTTGTCTACATGGGTAACTGTGTGTCTGCAGATGGTACCATTGGAAATGCTGTTTTTCTTCACATCACCAAAACTCGGTCGCCATTGCTCAACCTCCAGCGCCTGTGGCATCGTCGGGATGTCTCCCTCTTGGTAAAGAATCGTGTTTCAATGCCATTGTTGGGGCGGTGTTACTATATGAAAGCGAATCGTCGCCTGTTTGCTTAGACGACATGCGCCGGCTCTCGGCCTTCGACAACGGGTGCTTGAGGAGGATTGCTCGTGTGTGGTGGCAATAACACATCTGCAGTGGTGAACTTAGTGATCGTCTCTTAGAGAATGCCTGTATTCTCTTCAACAAGCTGATTTTGCTGCGCCAGTTAAGATGGCTCGGTCAGATTCTGCGTTTGGCAGCTAAGCGTTTACCCTATGGCGCTCTGTTTGCTCGTGCAGGACTCAAGTGGAAAAGACCACACATTAGTCCATCATCCACCTAGCGACAGCAAATGAAATAGTTGACTTCACGTCTTGCCACCATTGGATCCACACCTCTGCCTAGTTCGGGATCAAAGGACAAGGAGTGCCGATGGCCAGAAACAATTCAGGATATTTAAAAGTCGATGCAAGCGCATATGTTTTCAATAATTCCTCTTCCGGCTTGTACAATTATATGTGGAAAAAAGACAAAATGTTTGACATACCGTAAGAGTTGGTTAGATAAATTCGGTTCACAATCACTGAGCAAGCACAATCACTATTCGTTAAGTCACAAGTGCGGCGTACTAGGCATTCTGTGGACCTGATGTCGTGGTTCGGGTGGGCCAAGACAGTTTTAACGTCTGCACGAACCGATTCTGAACACAAAACCCCGGCTCGTACACTGGAATCGCGATGACCTCCGCGGATTCGAGCAATCACCTACGAACGCACTTTGATCGCTTAGCTGGTACCTGATAGATCACCTTGAATGACTCAGCCTACTTGGTGGCGTGGCCAGTGTGGGCGAGATGCGTGGCTATGGATGAGTTGGTTTGTTTACGATGAGCAATCACGAGCCAACGCGGATAGCGTTCTTTCACGCTTTCAGACAGGCACCTATTCAGGATATGGCTCGTACTGCCAACCAGTGGAGGGTTTGTGTGCACAATTATTTAGCCACAGATGCTTAATACTTACAGATTGAAAACGATAAAAAAATTAAATACGGCGTGTACAAAATAACAAAGAATGCCCTGTTCCTTTCATTGAGACACAATTCCTGAACTGTGTTGCTCACCTTCATTTAATGTACAGTAATGGTGCTACGCTGGAAACCTGTTTTCTTTTACTGATTTACATGACTATCTTAGGCTCATACCTACTTACAACAAATTTTCCCGATTGATTGCATCCATAGTTCAATTGTGTTGCTCCCTAAGGCACTGATTTGCATCCAGTAGTATTACAACGCACCAAGCGCGCGCACTAACCTTGGATTTGAGCTAGCCGATGACGGTAGAGGTAATAACCCTTGCATGGATGCATGAGTTGGTGGTGTGTGATGGGGACGCGTGGGCATTCTAGTCTCCATCCAACAACGGTGCCTAACCCGATGCATCTGAGAAACACTAGGTTGTCCAAACACTTACTGCGACTGGGTGGAGGATTCAGTGAGCGCAAGTGGACTACTATGTACGTAAAGGCATGCCTACCGAACGACACAAGTTGGGGGGGGATGCGAACAAGGTAGTGCGATACGACTTGAGCGACCTTATGGCTAGTTCGGCACTGGCGCAGCCCAAGATTTTGGAGGACCTACCAACGCTCGGGCATACGATGGTACTGTGTCTGGATAACCAGGCAACCACAGGTGCATGGCTGCGAATGACGGACGCGGTGTGACGCGCTTGCGAGTAAAGCGACAAAAGGGGTCTGCGCAACCGAAATACAGGTTTGAAGGTGGCCGCGTTGGTTTATAGAGAGCCGTCTTGAGCGGCAGTCTGTTGAGAGGGCTAGTGCCGAAATACGACTGCGGCAATTTTGTTACCAAACGAGTAGGCCCTGCTTTATTACAGCAGGCGTCGCTTATCCTCATGGTGGATGCAGTACACCGACTTGATGGTCCCGTAATCAAATGAGATACTGCGACCGGGCTGTCGGCAGTTTGCATCGACTGATCTGTACACACGTGCATGGGCGGACTGGTGCGGACCGAGCGTAAGGGCAACTGACACGCAAATCGGTGCGTATCAACTGAATTCGTATTCCGTACCCAGTTTTGTGATATGTTCGCACTCTATCGTTGTTCGGCATCTGTGTCTGGCCATTTCACCGTCTCTTCTCCAGCAAAGAGATTTGGCCGACACAGCATATAGGCGAGCAGCACAGTTCCTTCCTACGGTAGTTGTATCTGTATAGCCCACAGTTCTGCGAGGTTGATAACACCCAA